GGAAGGAAGGAAGAAGGGAGGGAGGGAGGGAGGGAGGGAAGGAAGGAAGGAAGGAAGGAAGGAAGGAAGGAAGGAAGGAAGGAAGGCAGGCAGGCAGGCAGGCAGGCAGGCAGGAAGGACGGACTAGAATCCACCCACAGGTTTTAAAAGAGCCAATGGGGGTCCAGGCATTTCCAGGGGTCTGCAGGTGAACTGGCCATACCAGCTTCATGGTGCACCTGAGTTCATGATAGACATTGTGTTTAGAAGCTGTGAGCACCCCAACATAAAGCTTGTGAGGTACAGGGTAAGTGTTACCCTAACCCACATTATTTTGCTCTGAGAACCAGTGGAGGACACGCTTTTGCGCCATAGGATGGGCTGGCAGTTCTGGGCAGAGCCAGGTAAGTTCGAAGGTTAGGGGTAAGGAGGCGCCCTGGAAACCTCCCTAGTCTCAGATGCAGGCCTGGCAGCAGAGGACTTCTGCCCGCTCTGTGGTTGAGCAGGCACAACGCTCCCGGGGACCAGACTGTGCTGGGATCCGAGCCACAGATGACACAGGCAGCCGGGGGTTAACCAGGCCCCGAGGGGAAGCAGCACCACACCATCTGCCCCAGCCACACTGCGGGGGAACCACCCAGGTCTTGTGATCTGGAACAAGGAATTTGCATGATCCCACTGTTCCGCGCCAGCACTCCATCACAGAGCCCCAGGGAGGCTGCCACGGTCCTCTCAGTCACTCCAGCCCCAGAGCCGCCCATGAGTGAGTCCCCAAGCTGGTACTGCTCCTCACTCCTTGGCCCTGCTTCCCCAGGCCAAGCGGCTAGACTTCTCTGGGCTGTGAAGAGGGGAGCAAATGGGCAAAGAATGTTCTGCCGCATCTCATGGTCCTCCAAGGCTTGGGGTGGAGGCCACCAGGATGCTTCTTGCAGACTGGAGCGATGAGTCTTTGTTTCTGAGTGCCCAGGAGGCCTCTCTATCCAAGTGTGGAGAGAGGAGGCCCGCTTGGCCACTCTCCTATTTTGTCCTCAGTTTAAGGGCCAGCTGCAGCCCCCAAGTGTCCTGGTGCATTTTCCCTACAAGTTCACACATGCTTATTCTGATGTGAGAATAGGCGGTCATCAAGCCTTTAGGATAACTTTAGCAGTAAGACCTCCCTCTCAATGAAAATTGAGAATTCTTCATCCAGTGGGCAGTAACAGAAATAAATCTGTGCTTTAGGCCCGGTGTGGTGGTGCAGGCCTGCACTCCAGCTACTCAGGAGGGCAAGGCGGAACTGTCATGAGTTTGAGGCCAGCATGCGCTATATAGTGAGCTCAGGGAATGCCCCAGCTGCCTAGCCAGACCCTATGCCAATCACCCCAGCCAGTGGCCCATTGCAGCACCTGGCTGTCAAGAAGGGCAGAAGCCAACCGGGGTGTCCGGTGGATGAGGTCCTGTCCTGGATGATGCTGACCCCTCCTGGGGACCTCTAGCTCCTCAGGCGTTCCCTAGTTCCTAGAGGTTTTCTCTTCCTGCAAGGGTCCCTAGTGACCCTCCCTGCTTGCTGCCTCCCCAGGGTCCCTAGTGACAGGGCTCCACCAGATAACCCAGATGCTCCCCTGTCATCTCCAAACCTGAGCCCATCTGCGGAGCCCCTTGGGCCACCGTAGGGAGTAAGGTGCTCCCAGCTTGCAGGAGCAGGATGCAGCCGGTTTCGGACTCCACCACTTAACCTGCCACAAGTCCTAGATTCTTTCTGGCCCTGGCAGCACATGTGTCTCCATCCTAGGCAGAAGCCTGCCAAGTGGCTCTGGTGGACCCAGTGGCACAAGGCTGAGGTCCCAGCTATTGGGAGGTCACACACACACACACACACACACACACACACCCAAAAGCAGTTTGTGTCATAGACTGGAATAGCCCCATTGCTTTCTCATCAAAGGTTCAGGTTGTCCAGAAAATAGAGGCGGAGCCCGCAGGAACTTTCGAGACTCCCAGGAGAGATGTCCCTGTGCTGCTCACTGAGAGAAAATGCAGTCTTCATCACAGAAGGGCCTTGTTCTGCTCCTGCCTTTTCCTTCCTCCACAACACCCAGAGTTTCCAAGACACATGCTAGGACGGGATGAGGACTTCAGGGACTTTGGGACACTGTCCCCCTACTGCCACATCCTGTGTCAGTGTCTACTGCTGCTCCCCACACATCCAGGTCCAATGCAGCACTCAAGACCCACGCGCCCTCCCATGCAGTCCTCCGAAACCTCCCCGCACCCCCAGGGCTGGCTCAGGCAGGTGCCACTGCACCCCAGCTGCACCTGGCAGGACCTAAAGAGCAAACCCGGAGGGAACGGGCTGCTTCAGGAATGGGCGTCGAGTGGGAACCCAGGCAAACTGTGTGTGCTCCAGGAGGCTGCAGCGAGAAGACATGTGTAAGGGAGAACAGAGGGCACTGGTTGTGTCCATGTGAAAGATGCCCCCAGGCTGGGCACATGGCTCAGTAGAATAAGCATTTACCTGGCAAGCACAAGGGCCTGAGTTCAATCCCCGATTCACTGGAAAAAAAAAAAAAATGCCCCCAGCTCCAGACCCGTGCCAGGGCTGGCCTCTGTGAGAGCCTGCAGTATTTCCCATGTGGGTGGCAGTGGCCCTGCGAAGCTGCAGTCTGGCAGCATCTTGTGTAACAGTGCCTGTGGCTGGCCCTGCTGTGGAAGATCCCCTCCCTCCCGGCCTCTGTCTCGGTTTGTCACCCATTTTCTCTTGGTGAGGGCTTGGCACAAGTGACCCCACGCTACTTTGTTCGCTCTGGCCCGTGGACAGAAGTCAGGTGTGTAGGCGTCCTCAGCAATCTCAGGCAGGCTCAGCCCCTGGGTGTAGCAGGCTTGGCAGCTGGAGCGAAGGGAGCTGCGAGGGCATCACATCCGGCACTTAAACTCCTGCCCAAAATGGCATTCCAGGTGGTGATGATGATGTCCTGCTACACCCAGCATGGCCGGAGCTACTGCATTGGCCCATGACAGTGACAAAGGGACACCTCCGGAGGAGAGGTAGGAGGTGGTCAGGACCTGAATCCCACCTAGAAGAGATCATTTATTCTACACCCATCAGGAAGGGCTCAGAGCTCAGGGATGTGCACAGGGCAGGCTGCATGTCTTATTTAAGCAGAACACTTGAAGCCTGCTTGTAGCTCAGTGTCCTAGGAGGCTGAGGCCAAGGATCAGTGCATCCATCCTGCTTGGGCTTGACCCGTTTCAGCCCATCCTAGGCAACTTAGCCACCTAGTAAGGCCCCATCCCCAAGTAAAAAGCCCAGTGTGCGGAGAAATTGGGTGCCCTGGGTAGAGAAAGTGGAGACCCAGGCCTGCAGAGGCAGGAAGCAGGAAATCCTGGGAGAGGACACAGAGGCAGAGCCCTGGCTCTGAGAAATGCAGGTGCTCAGTCCCCGGATTCCAGAGCTGGGGGAGCGCTGCCCA